CCAATAGGGTCACCATGGCATTTAAGGTCATCAGAGGGGGCGTTGGGGGGGGAGCGAAAGGTGCAGTCACATAGGGTTCCAAATTTGAAGGGGCTCCCAAAATTTTGCCATCTAATATTATGTAATAATGTTCTATATTTAGAAAATGACTCTTGTTAACATTTTAAAATCTCATTGCATTCCTTATAAGAGTAATTTTTTTCCTTTTTAAATATAAAAGGGCAATGCTAGGAAGACTAAATTTTTAAACTAAATGATGTGTCACCAATAGAAAATGAGCACGTATATCAACTCATATGTCTAATTTACAAAATTTAGTCTACAAATTTAATCTCTCTAACGTTACTCAATATAAAAAATTGGAGTACAATGAGATATTCTGATTGTCAATAATAACACCCCAAAATACAACGGTTTTTCAACTTTATTGTATAATAATGTCATATATTCAAGTGAAATTTTATAGTTAAAGTTTTGAAGTTTTTTTTTTTCATGTTTGGTTGTTTAAGATTGAACTGCTTTTGATTATTTAGTGAAGGTTATGCTTGCAGCTTTTTTAATTATAATTAATGACATATGTAAACTTGCAATCAGTGAGTGCTACAATTTGTTTTGATTTAAGTGATTGTTTTCTTACATCAATACATTGTTTTACCTTATTTTTTTTTTAAAAAAAAAAAAACTATCTTAAGGAGAGGCCATTTTATAAATTTCGCACATGACCTCTGAAATCTCAGAGACGGCCTTGAGGGTCATCCCTTTGGTAGTGAAAGATTGCGAAGCCTGAGACGCTGAAAATGATGGACTGGGCAAGTTAACAATGTTTGGGTTTGATACGAGCCCGTCATAGCGTCTGTGGGAGCAACATAGCGTGGTCCTCCTGCAAGAACAACTGAATCTCGGGTTGCTAGGGTTACGATATCTGCGCTGGACACAATTGAAGGACATACAGCCTCTAGGCTTTTCTCGATCTCGTCAATAAGCTTGTATCCTCGTACAATCAAGTTTGGCCCTGCCGATTTTTTAGATGACTTCTTCTTGGTTGAATCTATAAGTATTGATATATCACAAACTTGCAATACATATAAAGTTCATTAGTTCATAGTTAACGTACTTATCAACTTCCTTTTTTCTCTTTCGATGAAATGCTATTTAATTAAAACAGCATCAACTTTTTATTTTCTTTTTGAAGAAAATAATTTAGGCGTTAATTGTTGATGAAATGAGAGATTGATACTGATAACTAGTATCAAACTACATTCGAACTGATGACAAAAAATTGTGTAACACCTACACTTTGGTCCTAACTTTATAAAACAAAGTTAATTACTAAAATATTACCTAAATTAAGAAGAAGAAGTATTACGCAAGTAGACGTATATATAAAAAATAAATGATAAAATATGTGTTTGAATATAAGAATGTAGCTTTACCCTAACAAAGCAGTCATGAAAATGCACACGAATAAAATATGTGTTTCAATATAAGAATGTAGCTTACCCTAATAGAGCAGTCATGAAAATGCACATGAAGCAAGCCTCCAGTGATAGATGAATCAGTTGCAAACCGTCTCTGCACGACTTGCCGTTTGATCGATTCAGCTTGGGGACATGTAGCATTATAGAAACCAACCCTAAGGTCAGCCAATACAAGCGGAAGAAGAAAGAAAAATGCTAGGAGCGAAGTCTTAATGATCTCCATGTCTAATGTTTGTCTCTCTCTACAAAAGTAGTAGCCTAAAGGGGAACAATAATAAGGAATCTGATGTTGATAAGGAGTATTGGTTTATGCAAATACTTGGGAGTTTAGAGGAGTATTTATAGAGGGGAAAATACGAGTGATAAACTGGGAGATCATTAGTGTTAACTACATTGAAATATTTGAGAATCGAAGAGAAAATGGAGAAGAAAGAGTAACTAAGAAAGATGAACGAGGGAGAATTTAGAGAGAGAAATATGAGACTTGTATATTGACTTAAAAGAATGAAGATTACACACTCTGTTTTTATATTAGAAAGCCTAACAACTCTAACCAAATACTAACAAACTTGCTAATTGTATTTCTAACTGTATTGTTGACTTGTACCTATAATACTCCCCCTCAATCTCAACTATGGAAACCCAGTTTGAGATTGGAAGAACATCTGCAATCACTGTTATGAAACCAAAAAACAGAACAAAGTTGAACCATCTGCAATCTTGCAATCCATCTTCATCCACCTCAGATTCATTCCATGTCATGATATCTTCATGTATATCACCTTGTTCCATATCAAAACCATTCCCATGTGGGTTATAGAGCATATGAAAAGTATCATTTGTGCCAACATCAATCAAATTTTGAATATTTTCCAAAACCTCTGTCTCTTGTTGATCTTTCCAAATTTTGCATAGTTCTAACTCTAACCAGTGTACTGAAATCATGACACCCTTCCTCTGCCTCTAGTAGGAGCTTCACAAAGAACAACCTTCTAAAGTAGTCGTAGCACACCCTCATGCCGGTATAACAACTTCTTACGAGATTACCCTTCGTGGGATTTACCGTCAACAATTTCATTTAACATTGGCCTCGGCCTTTAAAACAAAAAATTAACAAACTATAGTGTGACATCGGCCTTAACTATAGTACCATGGGATCACCCTTTGTGGATTTTACCAGAAACAACTACTTTTAACAATGGCATCGGCCTTCACAATTTCAACAACAGAAAATCAACATCTATGTAGGATTACCCTTTGTGGGATTTACCTACTCACAACATGGAATTACCCTTCGTTGGATTTACAGTTGACAACTTCTTCAAACTTCATCTTTTCCTAGGACACTTATAATCGGACTTACAGTAGATACATGCTAACAACTGAGCTAGTTAAACTCAACATTATAGATTGTGATAAGGAAATATACTGCATAAACTCCTCAGTTTGCCCCTGAACAATCTTCTTAGACATTACACTTCTCATTTTAGCACATACCATAATTAATCTGAATAACCATGAACTAGTATATGCCAGAACTCAAGAATTCACACCCATTTCTCCAAACGTGTCAAGATTCGTAGAAAAATCAAACCCATTAAAGAGAGAAAGATTCATTTCTTCAAATCAATCTTCAGCCCAACAATGCAATGTGTGCATTTCAAGATATGACCAACGCTTCTGTAAACCTTCAAATGCAGACTGCTTCAAGGCAAAAGAAAGATGGCTCCATGCTCTTAATTCTCAACATATCAACTTAAATGACTTCTAATCACAAGAATGGCTTACTGTAATTTTTCTCATTCCATAACTAGTTTGATAATGGTGTAACGTCCTTCTTGAACCAGAACAACTTTGTGCCCAATACTCTAATTGACATAAGCAAGAAATATGACACCATTTTGCCGAGAAAACCCCATTTTAATGAAATCTCAAAACACGAACCAAGAGAGAAAATAAGCAGCAAAACATTAAAGATGCAGAACCCAAAGAGAACAAAGAACTATCTTGTTTGGAGCAATTAGTCGAAACCGTTAAAAACCCCCAAAAAACCCAGAAAATATTCATTCTAATTGTTCAAGAATTCGGAGAAAAGAGACTGAAAACATAACCTTCACATGAAACTTCTAAGTTGGGCATTTTGACAAACACCTGGACTGCACACATGTCTAATCTTTCTTCCATACTAGAGAATAGAGTAGAGATCAAAGAATTCACTGACGCATTTCTTCAAATAGTTGGAGAGCACAGAATCGAAGAGAAAATGGAGAAGAAAGAGTAACTGAGAAAGATGAATTAGAGAGAATTTAGGGAGAGAAATATGAGACATGTATATTGACTTAAAAAAATGAAGATTACACACTTTGATTTTATACTAGAAAGCCTAACAACTCTAACCAAATACTAATAAACTTGCTAATTGTATTGATATTTGTATTTCTAAGTGTATTGTTGACTTGTACCCTTAATAATTAGCTGGAGTACTTAAAAGAAAGCGGGAGTGTGTGAAAGGTCAAAGGGTTAAGATATACGTAAGTAAAAGGACAAGGATTTTGAAGAATTATTTGGATGCTTACAAAAAGTATTTGCGCGTTGAATTATTTCTGTTATACTATGGAAGTAAATACATTTTTCCGAAAAAGGACAAACATAGGTGACAAAGTGCTAAATAAATAGCAAATTGACGAAAAAAAAAAAGTGACAATTCTACCGTATATGTACACTATTTAGCTCTTTACATGTAAACTTTTTAGAAGATGATGTATTACAATTTGACGGTTCATCATGAGTATATTATTTGTTACTATAATTGTCGATTTGTCCGACAACTATAGATGAGTAAATAGTCTTCAAAATGAATGAACTTTTCCAAAGATGATCATAAAGAGAATGAATCATTTCAGGCATAGTGCTATTCACACTTATTTTTACTTCCAACACTCTTATTAATTTTTTTGCCATTAATCTCCTTTAATTCATTTGATATGATGGTCAAAAATTAAGAGGGGTATGTGAGAAGTAAAAACGAGTGTGTAAATAATATTGCCCAATTTCAATTATTATGTATATACCATAAAATGATGTCAGATCATCACAATAATAGGAATGACTTCGTATACGTTAAGAGATAAGTATTGTTCCTATGTACATATCTAAGTTGGTATATTAAAACAACGACAGAAATTATCTCACGTGGTTCTATAGTTCCCATCCATGCAATTTCCCTAGCAAGAGTCCTCTAGTCTATAAATGATGAGCATTTGGCTTTCTGGTAAACATTGTGATTTGTGTATGTGGACTGACTTAATAACATTCTTTTTGGCGTGTGATAAACACATCGGGATCAATTTATGTGGGTACTAGGGCTGGGTTCGGTTCTTAACGGTTCGGTTTTTTCTTAAAACCGAAACCGAACCGAAATTTCGGTTCGGTTCGGTTCGGTTCAATTTTTTTTCTGTTTTTCTCGGTTCGATTTTTTTTCGGTTCGGTTTTTTTCGGTTCGGTTTCGGTTTTTTTTTTTTCCCTCCAAAATTGAAAAAAAAATGGAAATATGGATGCTGAACAGCTGCCTGACCAATGTCTTGCACAAGCTTTACTTCCCCAACCTGGATTACAGAAATCCAATAGTATCCATCTTTCAAAACCTTTTTGATTTAGGGACGGGAGGGGGGAGAATATCACACTTAATAATCATAACAAATGATAGGCCATACACAAAAACCAGGGTGCCAAATCACTACAAAGTATAATAATAAAAATTAGAAGAAAAAAAAATGAGAGTTTTAACAATATATTAAAAAGAAAATAAAAAGAGCTGAAAGCTGAAAAGTGAAAGCTAAGCCTACACTAAACCAATAAGCTGCAAGTTGATTTGGGATTAAGCTAAATGCAGAGTGATAAGAAGTTTCAGAAAATATGGATATGCTAGCACAAGGAATGCATTTCTCAATCATCTTCACACAAGTAAACAAAGCAAAAATTTCATATAATATACGAACTCTGACAACTACTATTAGAATCACAGAGCATTTTTAACTCTTCAAGCTCTCTCTCTTCTGCATAGAAAACTATAGATAAGGAACCAATATGGGAAATGGGAGGAAAAGAATGAACAAAATTAGAAGTGCAGCCAGACAAAACATCCATTTACAAAACGGGTAGAGAAGTGAAATAACAGGAACATACTGAATCTCAAAACTCCAAATAATTTCATCATTGGCAGCATAATAATAGACATCCAATCTGTAAATCCAATGACACGATTGAAAAAAAAAATAAAAAAAAGAAAATCAAAGCTCATTATTTTAGCTAACACCGTTCATTTGCCTATTAGACTGTACAATCACAAACATAACATCTGGTCTTTGTGATCATTTCGCAATTCTGCAATTACAAGCAAGACCACAAAGAAATAAGAAATACCAACATCAGAACCGCCATTACAAGCAATAAACAAAGCTCCCCAACCAACTTATAAGTGAAAAAACAATAATTTATTACGATTAATTAATTTAATATGCAATTTGTTCAAATACAACAGTAAAATATCCAATTTTTACCAGCAAGACGACGCCTTTCCGCTCGCACAGCTGGGATGTCAATGTCTTCGCGAGGAAAACCCTACACATTCGAAGAGGACGGAACACCAAAAACCCTAAATCCCCAAATATTGTTAATTAAAAAAAAAAAGTAACTATATTAAAAATAAATAAATAAAAGATTGACCTCGGAGTCAAGGAGGTCGCCGGAGATTCCAGGGCCGCCGGGCTGAGTAAGAAGCTCGATGATAGCGTTCATCTCCGCCTCCAGGGCAGTCATCTTCTCCATCAGGCCCATCGTCTCCCCTTTCAGATTCGTTCCCACCATTATTAGGTCATTGAAATGTTTGAACTACTTATCAGGGAGTCAGGGTTATGTGTTAAGGCTTAAGGGTTTTGTTAAAAACATTAAAAAATTAAAAATAACCTCACAAATCCTAGAGGCATGAGGGTTCGAACCCATGCCTCCAGCTCCCTAAAGTTTCATTGAAACCAACTTGGCAACAGGTTCTGTTTTGTTATGATTGTATGACTAAACAATTTATAAATATTCAAAAAAATTATATATATATATATCGGTTCGGTTCGGTTTTCGAGCCTCAAAAACCGAAACCGAACTCCTTAAATTTTGGTTCGGTTCGGTTCGGTTCGGTTTGAAAATTTCGGTTCGGTTTTTTTGCGGTTCGGTTTTTTTCGGCCTCGGTCCGGTTCGGTTTGAAAATTTCGGTTCGGTTTTTTTGCGGTTCGGTTTTTTTCGGCCTCGGTCCGGTTCGGTTGTCGGTTTTTTTCGGTTTTCGGTTTTTTGAACCCACCCCTAGTGGGTACAGAAGTATGAGAGGACAATGATTATTAAGGATAAGGATGGCTGATTATTGTAAACAATAATGATGATGTTTGTTGAGACGTGATCAAAATTGATTTAGAAATGCAATATGTATAGTAAGGATTTTGAGTTTCTCAATTCTATTACAGTAATGTTTGGTAAGAAGCCACTCATGTTTACGACGTGATCATACAAACGTCATATCGAGCCGTTTATTTACTTATATATATATATATATATATCATTATTTAAAAACAATCTTTAAAAAATTCATCCAATTTGAATACTATTTAGCCATCTATACATGTCAAATAAATTGATGTTTATGGTAACAAATAACATCTGTCATGATATGTGTTTGATTCGTATGATGACTATACAGTATCCAAATTAATTAGATCATTTTTTTCTTTTTTTTACAAAAATGATCTCTAAATGATCAAAAGAGAATGAATGATTTTATTTATGATGTTTATATGGTACAATATTGTTACGTCGTTATTAAAAAGAAGAATAAGTTCTTACATGAAGGAATTCAAACAGTATCCTCTCCTAATGCAACTAAGCGTTTAATATCGTAACTTTGATCAAAAGTCATGAAGGCCTGCACGTTCAATGCAAGCGCCAAATGCGTTCCTCTGCTTCATATATTCCAGTGTCAAATATATTTTAGATTTATGGGTTTCATTCTCCCAAATATACAACTTTCGAGTGTCATTTGGCCGGTGTTTTTGGATTTGTCAATTTTCTATTTACAAGTTCCTGTTATATCCGGTATTTTGGTAAAACCAAGGCGGCATTCAAACTAAATATGTGAACTGCATATATTAAGTGATGTCAAGCACGTATAACGATTTTACACATCAACAAATACCATTAGGCGTTGAAGTTAAGGTGAGCGGCCAACTCCTTAAAGTATCTCAAAGGGTACCACCAAACTATCGAATTGATCGAGAGGTATTTTGCCATTGACACAGTCCGATCAGTGAAATTTGCCTTTAGAGCAAGGATGAGATTAGATAGGTGCTGCCACCAGAGGCAATGCCCAAAATCTTATCTCGAATGATCGTTTGTACATTCAACGGCTTTTTGATTGGAGACTCCCCCCGTGACGCTTAACCTTTAGGATCAGTGATTAGATCATCAGTATCCAAAGATTCACAAAGAGGTGCTTGAGGACCAAATTTTAATACTGTTCCAGCTCTAGCTGTGGTTTCTAACCTGGTTGGTGATTGACTCCATCGGAGGATACTATGTGATGGTATCGTGAAGCTAATTTCATATGGTACGATCAGCTAACACTCCTAACACCAACTAAGCAAGTTCGCCTATAGAAGAGATGCTATGAATTATGACTGAAACCGGATAAAATTCAGTTCAGCTAAACAGAAACTTGTAAGCCAATTAAATTGCATGCTATTATCTTGTAACCACTTTTCCTGTCCTGATAGATTCAGCAATGTTGTACACTGTTCCACGGCAATATAACAACTCATACAAATTTAACTGTACCTAAATGATTGCCTAATTTCAAGATTAATAAGGAATCAATGAAGCCGACAGGTAAGCAAGAGGATCTTCCATTGTTGAATATATGTTTACAAATACCGCAAACAAAAAGAGAACAGATAGCTCAACAACCTTAATAAAATCACGGTATCTAAACTTTCGTAAAATTGCCTTTCCTTCATATTTCAAAACTCCAGAAATGATCAACAATTCAGTTTGAAGTGCAAAATGTACTAACCCAAGCCAGAAGGTGATTACCACATCTGACCAGGAAGCAAGAACCAGCAATAGGCATCCAAGACAACTCATGTAGTCTCAAGCAAAAACACAGCAAGGGTTTACGTGCTTTTTTATGAATTTGTGAGACGAGTATGAGCTGATGGGTTTATACACAATCCTGTGCACTAGCATTACCTTGTAGAGGCTGGGAAATTAGTGATAAACATGGATGAATTCAAGTATATGGCTTTTGCCTCCTGTTTTAGATTCTAAAGTTCTGAGAAACATTACAGTTTTGAGGTGGATTCCATCTGGTTAGGCTTAATGCCTAAAGCGATCCATTTATATAGGACTGTTTGAAGCCTCATCCGGGTCATCAACTCTAAATGTTTTCGGAACAAAAACACAGTTCTGATTTCTCCAGATCAATAATGTTTTAAACCCTCAGATTGCTTTCCTAGGTTCGGCATACCTGAGCAGAGACTATTACTGGTAGAGGAGGATGGAAATAAACAACCATTAGATCCTGACAACAACACATGTCCCAGTCCAGCAGGAAGCCATAGTGGTATACAACCCCAACGTAATGTTTGAACAGTTTGTAAGGAAATGCTTAGAGAACAAGGACCAGGAACAACCACCACTGATGCGGCATACCACTGTATTTGATTTTGAGCAGAAGCTGCATTTGTCCAAGATGGATTACAAGGGTAAACCCATGGAGCAACTGGGTGACAATTCAAAGCATTTGACACACAAGATCCTTGTAACCCCTTCCCCTCCCCTTGCATTATGTGTTTGGGTAATTCACTTCCCCGGTTATTACACGCTGTCTTTGAAGACATGCTTGAGGAGGGCTTCTCTCGACTTTCTCTACAACTGACAGAGCCCATCTTAAGACATGTCCTCGGGTATCTAAGATTAACAACAGTATCCAAAGATTCACAAAGTCGTGCTTGAGGACCACATTTTAATACTATTCCAGCTCTAGCTGTGGTTTCTAACCTGGTTAATTGGTGATTGTACTCCATCGGAGGATACTATTATGTGATGGTATCGTGAAGCTAAATGCTTGTTCTTTCGTCGGCCAGCACCCACAGGAACATTTCTCAGTGTTCCCCCAGCTGTCTAATATCTCTGGCAGTTTTTCCAGTAGTGGCTAGGCTGGTTGACATTGTAGTTATTGGAGTAACAAAACTTGGTGTCTAGACTGCCACATCGCGGACATGGAAGGAATTTGTCTGGCTTCTTAAAACCTTTTTCTTGGTCTAAACTATTGTCCTCCTCCTTCATTCTAGGATCTATTCTCACCACATTCACCGATATCTGCCTTTTCTGCCCCTCGATTTAATCTTTGATTATTACTTGGGAGCATGCGGAAAGACACGTTGATTGAACTAAATCACTTTAACGAGACCATTTGCCCGTTAATGACCAGTATGTTAACCAAGATTAAGAATATAATTCATAGTTCTGAAGTAATTATTAAGAAGTTAAGAAATATTTATGAAGTAATTATTAAGAAGTTAAGAAATATTTATATATAGAAACTTAATATGCTTTAACAATGTAAAGTGTGAATAAGAAATATAATACATTCATCAATTAAACTGAATAGCTAAGACGGAAAAGTATCTTCCATTCAATCTTAAGAGCAGAGGAGATATGAAAAGAGGAACAATATTAAATATCCTCACAATATATTGTCATATATAATTTAACATAATCTAGTTAGCAACTTGTTTTAGAGACTAATCTGCCTTTTCTGCCCCTCGATTTAATCTTTGATTATTACTTGGGAGCATGCGGAAAGACACGTTGATTGAACTAAATCACTTTAACAAGACCATTTGCCCGTTAATGACCAGTATGTTAACCAAGATTAAGAATATAATTCATAGTTCTGAAGTAATTATTAAGAAGTTAAGAAATATTTATGAAGTAATTATTAAGAAGTTAAGAAATATTTATATATAGAAACTTAATATGCTTTAACAATGTAAAGTGTGAATAAGAAATATAATACATTCATCAATTAAACTGAATAGCTAAGACGGAAAAGTATCTTCCATTCAATCTTAAGAGCAGAGGAGATATGAAAAGAGGAACAATATTAAATATCCTCACAATATATTGTCATATATAATTTAACATAATCTAGTTAGCAACTTGTTTTAGAGACTAATCTGCCTTTTCTGCCCCTCGATTTAATCTTTGATTATTACTTGGGAGCATGCGGAAAGACACGTTGATTGAACTAAATCACTTTAACAAGACCATTTGCCCGTTAATGACCAGTATGTTAACCAAGATTAAGATATAATTCATAGTTCTGAAGTAATTATTAAGAAGTTAAGAAATATTTATGAAGTAATTATTAAGAAGTTAAGAAATATTTATATATAGAAACTTAATATGCTTTAACAATGTAAAGTGTGAATAAGAAATATAATACATTCATCAATTAAACTGAATAGCTAAGACGGAAAAGTATCTTCCATTGAATCTTAAGAGCAGAGGAGATATGAAAAGAGGAACAATATTAAATATCCTCACAATATATTGTCATATATAATTTAACATAATCTAGTTAGCAACTTGTTTTAGAGACTAAGCTGCCTCCTCACCGCAAAGATTTGATCCATATTTCCCAAAAAGTGGATCCTGCTCTAATAGCAGGTTTCAGCTTCTCTACTGGGGCGCCTTCCACCTCTCTTTCCCTCGTTATTGATGCCACTACAGATGCTCCTATCAGGGTGATTACTCCCACTGGGAAGAGAAGACAAGAGCACCCGGTCCTGTTTTTGAAGATTCAGCGGTCGGCTTCGGT